GCGAACACACGAGTTTTGTATAGCAGTTGCTTAATCAAAAGCCACTTACAAGACTAAGAATCCCTTTGCAGGCCAAGCTAATCAAAATGGAGGGGAAAAGGAAAGAATTATTACCTCCTGATGCGCCAGAAAATCAAGTATAAGAATATCTAGGCCAGAAAGAGAGCTCCAGAAATTCCACAGATTTTTCTCCACAACACTTCCAAAAGGGCTCAAGCACACGAGATGAACAGAGCAAGAAAAATCGAAAATCGAACTAAGGAGATTTAGAAGAGATTTTGGCAGCACCTACACCCTCTCCAAAAATTTCGGCCAGCCCTAAAATCCTCCTGAAATGGGGTTTTTATAGCAGGAGAGAGAGGAGGAGGAACACTATCGCTCACCTGGGCAGTGAGCCGAGCCAAGAGAGACTAATATTCATCTTAAACAAAAAAAACTTGAAAAATATTAAAGCAATATAGTGAGCTATTTAAGATAACCCAGTAGAATAATCACACTTCCAAACTACAAGAAAAAAATTAATTTAATATTGATCTTTTATATTTCACTACATAAAATCTTATAATAATCTAATGTATATTTCCATGATATTTAGCTAATGGAAATAACTCAAACTTCTAGATGCATTAGCTTTAACTTTACTTTTCAATGTTTAATCTTTAACAATACTTCTAGTTTATACTATTAACATTCACATCTATCTCAAGAGCACCGTCAAACATAATCTAACACACTCCTGACCAATATTATCCTTCGGCAAAGTGATTTGTTATCTAATATACACAATTGTCAAAGGTGAAAAATGTGTATTCTCGCCCCTGCTTGAATTCTCCCATCGACATAGCAATTAACGATCAAAACATCACAATTATGTGGAGTGACATGATAATATTTACGTGTGCGGGCCTATAGGCATCCTCTACTTGAATTACAAGGAGGTGAACTTCCCTTTTTTGCATGCACATACAAACACTCATATATGCTCTATTTTATTCTTCATAACAGACATTATTTTCTTACAAGTCACTTGACATTTATCAACTAATGAATAAATGCACTCTTACTAGAATCTAATAGTCAATTAATAATCTAATATACATTTCTCAGAATCTAATAACTTTGCTTAATTGAAGTCCGATTTCGTGCAATTTCGTGAACTTTGTGTATTTAATGTGTAAATGAAATGTTATATGCATCTGTATTTGAATCTAAATGTCATTTAATAATCTAATAAATTTATAGGAAAGTCATTGTGCAACTAATTAACATACATACTTTTTCATCTTAAAATATAAAGAATATGTTATAATTTAAATCTCACTGAAATATAATATAATTGAAAGCAAGCATACATTTAAAAATAATAAAATTTTTTGAAGTTTAGTAATATAATTACTCACCTAGCCCTTATTTATGATTCTTGTAGCAAAAAGGAATAATGTAGTCACTATACAAAGGATGACCACACCTTTTCCGTACCATTTGAGGAATGGTCTCCCATCCCCAGCTTGTCTTCTTGATCTCTGATGAAATCTATACCACTTTTAAACAACTCTAAATTTTGCAAGCAGCTACAACAAAAGTCAAGTGTAGGTTGATCGCACAGCACCTATAATCATGTCTTTAAAATATTGCTGAATTCTACTGTTTTCTCAGTATACAGTTCTTTTATTATTGCATCCATATATTTTCCATATCACTTAGTGCATGTAGGGCATTTAAACATGGATTGATCAAACCAAGATCATTCTTCATCATGTAAAGAAATATCTTTTCTTTTAGTTGTCAAAATTGTTCAAATTCTACAGATTCATCAAAGTCCAAAAGGACACATTTCAATTAAAATACATTAAAATATTAGACGGAATAAGCATAGAAATCATTGGCTTCAAATTCTTCATGTTAAGAAAAAGCAAGAAAATAGTGATGTAAATAAATATTTATAACCAAAGTAATGTTGAGGTTCAGAAGAAAATAAAAATTCCAGTACTATGCATAAAGGCTGCTAATTTCAAATCCTTAAAGTTAATAAAATACATAAGAATAACATGATGGCATTGATGATCAGGCAGTCATTTAATTTAAAAAATATCATGATGAAATAAATAAAAAAGTTCAAAGAAGAAAGCATACTGCAATTCCATCAGTGCAATTGTATATTGTGTGGTAAAGAATTTTCCATGCTTCCTCAATCTGGTGATTTGCTTGGCCATATCGTCTGAATGAATAGTTCTTTAGCCACCCCTGAATCAAAATTAAAGCAATAAAACTAAATACTTAGCCAGAGAAAAATTCCAAAATCGATATGAGAGAAAATAATACAGCAATAAGACATACAGTGTACATTTGATGAAATTTGGATATTAATACAAATATATGAAACATTATTCAGGAGTACAAGCAGTTCTTCTCTCATTTCCTAATCGTTCTTTTAAGGAGTCCATTGCAAAACAATCCCTCCTCATACTTCAATAATAAATTTGGGGGATTTTGACGCGAATAAAATATGCATAATTTTTCAGTTTGTTAATCTTTTTTTATTGCATATTTTATGATCATATGACATGTAGGAAAGGTAATTTTTATCATGTTCTGCAGGTTACAGAGTTAAACTACTTCGAGAAGGAAAAGAGGAAATTTAGGGGCAAAAAAGAGTGAAAATCAAGAGAATTGGCTTGGCGCACTCACGCCGAATGTAACGAACACCCACGTGGTCCAATACAAAGAAAACGACATACCCACGCCACTAAAAAAGCGCGCCTGTGCCAGAGCAAGTGCCCCTGCACCATGCATCCGTCAGAGCCTTAGCACACCCACACCCAACCCATGCCGTCACCCCAGTGCACCCGCACCCCACGATAACCAAGCCAACGCCCCCTTGCAGTCTTCCCAGTGCACCTATGCCAATCTCTTTTTAGGTATAGCACACTCGCACTAGGCACGGGCACACGTAGTATGCAAAAAGCAATTTAGGGAAGATTTCTTGCCTTTAGAGGAGCCCTAGCTATAAATACACCCCTTGGAGCGATAGGAGACATCTGGTGATGGCTGGAGACTAATACTTTCTACAAAGAGGATTTTGTGAGTGCCCTGGAGGTTCTCATTCCTTAGGGAGAAAGCTTCTAGGATTATTTTCTTTGTACTTTAAGAGGGAGTTTGTAAGATAAAGGTGTAGCTTGTGTGAGAGAAAGATTGCAGAGAGAATTCATTGTCCGGCCAGGATCGTGGCTTGTGTAGAGTAAAATCTTTGGTTGAAAGTTTTTACTTGTATACTTGTCTTTCTTTAATGGTTTTAATGAATTGTTTCTCGTTTTTTCATCTCATGTCTCGAAGTTAAATCTCTTTCGTGCTTCTGTGATGTAAGGGTACGCTGTTTCTCGTGACTTTGTGCATGTGATTTCTCCATATATGTTTTCTGCACTTTTCATGCATATATGTTGTTTTGTCAATTATTTGCATTTAATTTTACTCCCGATTTGGCCAGTTAGGATGTTAAAAACACTTTTGATCTGAGACTTCTGACCATCACCTAGTAGAACGACTAGGCTAACACACGAAAACCTAGTGGAATAGACATATTGTCATTAGGATTTTACAACCAAAATAGAGGATCCAAGGAGTCCTGAGAAACGCAACATGATTAAATCCCGCATACCTGTAATATACCTTTAACTCTTCTTATGACTTAAGCATAGGCTAAGAAGAACTTTGTCCTTGGTTGAAAATTATCATATAGGAGAATTGCTAGGAAAACAATGAAAATGCACTACACCTGAGTAATAGAAGCATGAGCCTCAACTCCTCAGAAGGGAACCCAAACTCTTGCTTCCAGTTGTTTCTGATCTTGACTTCGATTTTTTCATTGTTCTATTAGGATTGCAGACTGTTATTCTTGAGCTTGTGATCAAATCTAACTATATTCAATAGGTTAGCAAACTAGATATTCACCTGTCAGAATTACTTTTAAGCATTCCTCGTGAGATCGATACGCAAACAAAAAAATTTGTATTTTACATAACACATACACTTGTGTGCTTAACCAACTTTCCTTACAACAACTTTTCAGTCATTAGAGAACCACAAAAACACTATACCTGATTCAAGAAGCACGGGCCTCTTCCCTTTCGAAGAACACTCAAAACTCGTGCTTCCAGTAGTTTTTTGATCTTGTCATTTGATTTTCTCATGGTTTAGTTAAGATTGTAGACTGCTACTCTTGTGATTGTGATCACGTCAAACTAGGATCAATAAATTAGTAAATTGGAGATTCACCTGTTAGAATTACTTTTTAACTTTTTCTCATGGGATTGATATGTAGACTCAAAAATCTATATATTACTAGAAATGTACACATGTGTGCTTCACATACTTGCCTCACGATACCTTTTTGGCCATCATACACAACACGCGATAAACTAACCTTGGACCATCATGAAAGCAAATATATAACAAGAGAATAACCTCACGATACCTTTTTGGCCATCATACACAACACGCAATAAACTAACCTTGGACCAGCATGAAAGCAAATATATAACAAGGGAATAACTAGAAGTCACCCAAAAACACTGGCCGACCCTTTAGAAGGAAGTAAACCTGGACCGGTTCGGTCCAGGCAAACACGCGAGACATGTCTCGCGTGTGTTTGGTCGTGGGAATTAGTGTGTGTGGTTCGTGGTTCCGAGTTAACATGGGCATTGGACGCTCTCTTCAACAATTGCATACATTTCTGTGCTTTGTCATTCCCCCACTCTTCACAGCGGAGCCAAGAGCTGCTTTTCAATGCAGTACTTCACTCTAAAAATGCATCCCGAAAAGAAAATAATATTTCCATATTTCAACTGCAACAACTAATAATGCCATAAATAGCAATTCCATCCTCATATATTCTTCATGCATTTCAAAAAACCTGCGCTGTAGCTCATAAGGAAAAAAATTACCTCGATCTGAATGCTGTGACTGCGAAATGCCATTTCAGGCATTAGCTCATAGACAACTGGATTATGCTCTATACCTTCCATGCACATGCCAACGCCAACCTATAAGAAGGAACACGTAGATATAAATAGTATTCCATAGAATTTGGAAAGTCCACTACGATAATCTATTTCCTATTAGGGTCCACAAAACAGTGAAGGATAAACAGATAGTCTAGTAGCAAATTTCAGAGCAACCTAAAACAAAGATGTTGAGAGATAAAATAAAGGTGAAAATAACTACATTTAAAGCTTTTTAGATGAAAATGTTAATTTCCCTTCCCCTGGGATAAAAAACATTTTTTTTTAAATCAAAGTGATAAAGGTTTTGTTGCTGTTGTTGTTGTAAAGATGGCTCGACAAACGGCACTGAAATAAGATGAACTCAAAAGCACTACAGTAGCATAATTCATATGAAAGGATACTAAATATCGTTCAATCGATGGAAAGGCAAACTTTCTGAAAAGATAACAATGATAAATAATCATGAAAAAAAGGGTATGCAAGCCGCCTCATATGACTGGGTAAAAAGCATTGACTTATGTTTGCACAACTTCTGAAATGCCTTTATCAATTAATTTAATATACATCTAAGCCAGTTCAATGTCAAAACATTCAGTTAAGGAGTGTGTAAAATGATATAGGTAAGTAGAAAAAAAAAACACAAAAAAGTTAACAGGTTGAAATTAATAATGAAACAGGAAAATCATTATTATTGGCCTCAAGGTTAAATTTCATCAAGGATAGCAATCATAAATGACTGAGGAAGGAAGGTACTCACACATAGGTACAATAAGAGGAATTTACCATAACCCCAGTGGTTCATGCTACTTCTAGAATGCCTACGTGTACTCAATTGGTTCACATTTAAAAGAAAAAACAAAAGTAAAAAAGTTTTACTTAAAGTTTACAAGATCAAGATGTTGAAAAAACAACCATAATAAATTTGCAAATATCAGGTCAACAAGATTTTTTTTTTTTTAGACTAAAATGTTTGACATACTCGTACTATGCTTGACTAAGCAAATGTGAGAAGAGAAGTGCAATTTACAAAGAAAAAGGAGGAAATGATTTTTAAGATGTTCAGTGTAAACAATAAAATGGTGTAGCATAAAGATGATTATAGGCGCATACTTTAATTTCTCGAATGCAAAAAGTCAAAAATGGAAAACAGTGTGAAAAACACAGGCTACAGATAGAACTCAGGCACAAAAATACAACCGGCTACAAGAAATATAAAAATATGCAAAGGTACGTAAACTACACTGAACAAAATAAAGCTTACTAGTTTATTAATCCATGCAATGGACGTGACATAATAAAGTTCATATCAAAACATGCATGTAATCTGTACATCTTTTATAATAATACAACAAATTTTATTAATAAAAATAAAGTAATCAATAAGAAACTATCTATAAAGTTTAAATGTTGAAATAATTACTTAAAACAAGGAAATCATTAAAATCATAAAATATTGCAAATTTTTTAAGCATGATAAAAATGCATCAGTAGTTTTTTTATGTCCCGCTCGAATAAAAAAAAAGAATATAAAAAAAAGGAATAGAGTGAAAAAATTGTGTATCATAACTTAAAGAAAAAGTATGAATAGTAGTTGAAAATTACATAATATCTCAGAGATTTTGATTGCCACAAAAACACATAATTATGATTTTCCGAATTTAATTGACTTGAAATCAAAACCACTCCGCATCAGCAATCGCTCACATAAATCATATATAAAAAATAATTAGAAAATTTTACACATGTAATATGTACTAAAATTATATTAAGTAGAAACATTGAACAACATATTTTTTTTTTGAAGCCCAAAGGCTAATACATAAATAAAAAGTAGCGTAAATATAGATTTTGTGGGAGATCCCAAAAATGGCACCAGCCCACAAAAAAATCACCATATCAAATGGTTTCAAAAAAGAGAAAATATTAGAAAAATAAATTAGAGACTTGCAGAAAAAGCCTAAAAGTGTCGAAATACAAAATATTAATTGGCTAGAGAGCGACCCAATTTGGTCTTGTCTCTGTCTCTAATTCTAGGCAATGAACAATCTAATAAGTTGGTAAGATAATTGTCATTGTCAGTAGTAACTAATGTATCATCCAATAGATTCCCTAGCTCGAGTCGTCCTCCGTTCTTGTTCTTCCTTCTCGTGTAGACCTGTCATTCTTCATCCGAGGATTGACTCATCTGATCAACAGATTGGTCTGAAGTGTGCAGAATATGTGTAGGTTATTGAACATTAGAGGCAAATACTTGTTGTGCCAGCTGATCTTTTTTCGGGCCAAAAGAGCACTCTGGTGTATCTTGACATGTAAGTGAGGCTTCTTCAATAACAGTAAGTGGTATCAACACATTTGGATCTGTACTTGTAGTAAGGTGTTCTTCTTCATCTGGAACTGCGACATCTAGAACTGCGATGTTGGAAGGATGATCGGATTGCACCTTCTCAGCAATGATGGTAGATGGCTGATCTTTAGCGATATTGGATCTATGATGAGGATGCAAACTCTCACAAATATTTGAACTGTGGCCAAACATACTACAATGTGAGCAATAAGGAGAATGTGATTCTATTTCAACATTTTGTCAATACCCGTTGTGAATAGTGCTTATCCATATCTCATTCAGAGTTGGTTGAGTGATATCTCTCTCAACTAATACACAAGCCACAGAAGGTCTGGTGGCAGCAAGCGTAGGACTATCCACCTTGAGAGACTTACAGTAAACAGTTGCTAAAGAATAGAGGATTTCCATATTGAACAGATGTAATTTTAACCCCAGAAATTTTATCTAAATTGAAATGATAGGGGACTCCGCTTCTAGATCAAAACCTACAGTCCACTAAAAAATTTTCATAAAATGATTGTCGATCTTGATAGCTTTCCGAGAGAAAATGCGAGTGTAATCAACATCGTGAGATAGCTAAATAAGTATATGTCGACCGTCAAGTAATCCAATGTGCCAACTACCTAATAGTTTCATAGCATCAAACTTCTTTCTAATGATCTCCAGTTTTGGGTAACCATATAGGAATTTCCCCACAAGGGCAAAACGCTAAGAGGACGCGAGAGCACCGGTTTCATCCTCTGTGAGAATAAGTGCAGGCTTTCCATTTTTTTCCCCAAACTTTTTAATAAAAGTGTGATCACCTCCACCTTTAAGAGTCTCGTGGAACGAATGTGGAACATTGCAAAACTTACCGATAGCAAAACCAGGCTCTGAAGCTGGAGGAGGGGCACGAGCAGAAATGGACAAGTCGCTGGCAAGGGCATTTGCATAGGAACTATGCATCGATGCCATCTCCCGGGTGCTGTCGGGCTCGGTTCGTTAGGAGAGAGCAAGGAGACAGCCGCGATGTCGTCGGCTACGGGGGAGGACTGCGAGAGAGTGTCGTCGTCAATGGAATCAGACGACGACGGCAGTAGCGATCCTTGTCGACAATGAAGACGACTATGAGCGCTCGACTTCAATAGGAGAGACAGGGAGCTGCAGCTACGACGAAGACGACGGAACAGTGATTCATGCTGCAGCTACGATGGACACGACGGAGAGCGACACACACACATACACATATACATATAATAATGCATATATAGTAATACAATGCGGTAATATTGTTTAAATGGATAAATATTTCCTAGTAGAAGTTATTATATTATGCGGTGGGTAAATAGAAATGCAGATCAAATGTCAACCAAAAAGCAATAATTAAATGAAATGAAAATAAGACATAAGCAACTAATGGCTTGCAACATGCAGCTAAGCACACTTAGGCTTTGTTTGGCGCAGCTGCAGCTCGGTTTTCAGCTGCTGCTGCGCTGCCCCAGGAAATTGCTGCGGGGAAGCTGACTGTTTGTTTGGTGTTGCTGTGTGAAAACAGCTGTGGGTCAGCTGTTTATGAAAAAAATGACCATAAAGCCCCTGTTTACTAAAAATGTTTAAAAGAAGACTATAACAGCCATATTTTTGAAACTTCAGAAGCAGAAATTCATTTCTAAACAGAGCAGAAAGTTCATATACACGAATGAACTAATAATGAGATTCATTTCTAAACAGAGCAGAAAGTTCATATACACCAATGAACTAATAATGAGCAATGAGAAAATCATGAACTGTACAACCAACTTAAAATAAGGCAAAACAACAAATGATCATCCCTTGTAGCTGAAAAGAAATATAACCAAGCAGGTATGAAATTACATGTTCTTAAGATTACACTTAAAAATTTAAGAGAAAAAAAACATAAGAACATATTTCAACTATTGTCTCGCTCTTGACAGTTTAGATGTTAGATATGTAAATACATAAGTATATTGTGGCATTCTTTTGGAGATTGTCAAATGACCTTAAAACATTAATATCATAAACCAAGATTCAACAATCAGCTCCCCTATAGAATGCAACGACAATCAGCTCCCCTGTAGATTGAAATTAGACACCAAAATTATGCATTCAAAAGGTGAAGGAAAGGCTTAAAAAGTCAAAATGATTGAAATCGGAGGTAATGTTGTGGGAAAAATTCGGGATCAAGAGAATGAAGCATTGCAGCAAGACTCTTACCTGCTGTCCCCTAGAACAATGACCTTGATCAAGGTCCGTCTTCTCGAGGCCATGGCGAGGAGTAATCACCTAATGAGGGCAAACACTTGGATGCACACTCGAGAGCGATGGAGAAGTACGGGTGGAAGAGGCAGACCGAAGAGGCTGCGACATGAAGGAGCTCTGCGGGCAAGCGAAGGTTGTTCAAAAGGGTTCGAGCGTCGCAGGAGGTGTCCGTATAGAGGATCTCCACTGACAGCAAACGAAAGACGGAATCACGAATAGAAGGGATAGGAGGGCACCTGCGTAAAATGTCGAAGGAGCAAAGGGGGGACGCGGGAGCGAAGCGGAGCCGCGGGGTCGATCCCGCGGCCTGCTTTTCCCTCAGATTCGCTGCCTTCGCGGCAGACGCAACTGAAACGTCGCGCCAAACGAAGCTTTTCTGCGGCCTTCCGCCGCACCGCGAAGGGAAAGTCGCCCCAAACGGAGCCTTAGAGTTACA